AAATGTTGCTCCATTACGTTAACCAAAGGGAAAAGCAGTTTCAAGAATTCTTCAAACTATATGACCCGAAGTGTTCTCATTTACTGGTATTTATAAAAATAACCTGGCTTTAGGGGAGGGAACCCCTTCATTATACCCCCCGTTCCAAAACTGTGGGGAAACCTTAAAGTTATGCATAGAAATATCAGAATCCGAAAAAAAAATTTGGATGATTTAATCCAGTACATGCAACCAACTTTATTTTTTACCAAATGATTGTACTGCTTTATTAGTCAGACATCATAACAAGTCAATATGTTGTTTTCTCCTGTGTTTAGTACAGAAAAAGCACACTGATGTATTTTTGGAGTGCCTAGTTTCATTGGCTTTAGCAAAGTTGTATAAATATCCCTGGTTTAATTAAGTCAACCGTGATTTCTTTGGAAGTTGCTTGAAGGACAGGAAATAGTGAGCTGCCTACAGATATTTATGTACCGGTACTTTGTAAGCTCATTAGCATGTCAAGAGCGCATACACCCTACAACTCATATCAAATTACACCGGTTGTTATAACCTATCTCGTATTGTTCACTACAAAACAATATTTATATATATAAATATAAAATATATTAAAAAAAAAAATAACTAGCAGAATAGCTGTTAATATTTTTTTTATTTCTAGAGGAAATATATGACATAGCTGTGGTTTACATAGACATCAACGAACACTTAATCCATAATGCAACATGTTAACTTGTAAGCACTTGAGACGCAAAAAAAATTTCGCTGTTATAACGCAATCAATTCACATTCTATTTTCAACAATAAAACTGTGTGGTCAAGCAGTCAGTTATAATTTTAAAAAACCTGGCCAGTCAAAAATGGTCCGTATTTTGATTTCAAATACAATTTTGATTTCATATTACATGTACTACATTATCTTCATCTTTTAAACGTTTTTCATTTTCTTCATTCAAAACTTCAAATTCACTAATACAACAACAATATATATAAAAGATTTCAATATGTTAAGTTCATTTAAAAAAATACAGTGTGGCTATGCAGCAGGAAAAAAGCTTGGCAGTATAGCACTATGTAACATGTTGCATTAGCGATTGTACCAGCAGATCCAAAGGTCACCGGGTCACGAAGCAAGAGTTATTGTTCTTTCTCATGGTACTGAAGAAGACATTGCAATTCTTTTTTTTTCCTCTCTAATGATTTTGCCAGAAACATATAACTGACCAGAAAAATGTTTGTATTTTCAGCATTTTTTTTTTTAAAATTTATAAATATATTACAAAATTATTTCCAATTACAATTTATAGTCATAATTTTTCTATAGATCTTAGTAGAAAATTGCATTGCCTTCTCCAAAAATCGTAAAAAATTACATACAATATTACTAGCTTAAAAAGAACTTAGAGACACAATTACACAAGCAGTAGTCATAGTCCTTCATTACCCATATAATGTTCGAAGGACTATAAATAATTACCAATAGTACATCGCTTGGAGGGGGAGGGGGGACAGAAAAAAAAGATTTTTTCTGAGGTAGTTTCAAAAAATTCAATTATCTATACAAAAATATCAGCAAATTCGGATTCAGCTTTTCTGTTCAACATATGGTGCAGTCGTTACGAGTTTTGAGGTAATTAATTAAAATTCTGTGGATTTGATGGCAGGTATTAATTGCCTTATTGAGGTAGCGTTATGTGGATTTACTTTCTGATGTAAAAATACTGTTATCTGAAACATCGTACATACTTTATCCCTGGATTTACATCTGGTTTTGTTGAGGTATTCAAAATCTATAGAATAAAATTTTCTAGTACACCATCTCTTCACTTTTTAACAAAATCTAAAAAATTATGCATTAGAAAATAAAACAACTTCAACGAGTCAAAAAACTATACAAAAACATAGACAATTATATATATATCAATTAGAATGTCTCTCAATACAAAAAAAAATGTATGCTTGATATTGGTGTAAAAATTCTGCTTGTAAATTAGTAACATCAATTTCATAAAATCAGTATTCACTCATTGCTGGAATATCACCTGAACAAAACCTATATATATATATTTTTATATATCTATTACATTTATAATGGATCCAACATTTGATAATCAACTATACAAAATATACATGAGAAGCAATACCTTTAGACAATATACAGGTATAACTATATACAGCAAACAATATATATTTGAATAAAAAGGCCTTGAACACCCAGATATTAAAAGCTTACACGTACAAGTAAGACTTATCAAACTTGAAGAGGCTATGACCAATAGATGAAAACTCTTAACAACTTACTCCTCTGGCTTACAAAAATAACTCCTTAAGCTCTCTTGTTAAATAGGACATATATCCTCAGCAGCCTGGGTTAACTTAATTTTACTCCTTGACACAAACGTTAAGACCCAACTCCTCAAATGATCCCCATCGCCAAAATCATACCAAGAAAAAAATAATAATACAGTCAAAGCACAGAGAAAGTTAAAAATACCCAAGAAACAGTTGCACACAAAATATTACCAAAGCTAATAGGTATTATGTATATATACAGAATTACTCTTAAAATGAGGTAGATCATAATTCACTTGTCGTCTGCTACCCGTCTGACGACAAGACTCCTGAGTTCAAGACGTAACATAGTGAGAAGGTGAAATGTCAAGGGTCAAGGTCATGGATACATGGAAAAATAAAAATACCATATGCATATGTATATTAAAGCAATCCTGAGATTAGAAAATAAATAAAGAACAAACATTAAAGAGATATTAAATGATCTTCAGGATAGATCCTACTCTTTTTCACATGTACTTAATTATATCTAGTGCAGTTAATTAATTTCTAATTTTAAAGCTGACATGTGAAGAAAAAGGCAAGGATTAAAAATGAATTTGTTTTTAAACATCATTTTCCATATATTATTTGACAATATCAATAACAAATCTTACAAAAATCTTTTGTTTTTAACAGGTTCAATCAGAATTCATTTTTGAAAAATGAGAAGGAAAGGGAGACTACTATACATAAATATGGAGAGAAAAAAATATATGAGTAGTTATATATACAATCAACATTCAGTACTGACTTCTGCATTTCATCAGTGTCTTTCTTTAGTTTTCCAAAACAAGAGTGTCTACTCATTAACACTGAAACACAACACATAAACAACAAAGTTTTTAAACACCGGACCAACAGCAATATCCTATGTAAGGATAAGTTTAAACTTGTACAGAAAACAATGCAAGACAGCAAGAAACAAGACAAAAAAATATGAAATTCCACTCCATGTTCTTATAAAATTGTAGAATTAAAAAAATCCAAATATAAAGTATATTGCAAAAAAATGATCAAAATTTTGATGTAATCATTTTTGACTTGTGCAGTTCAATTTTGATTTACGGATCACACTCTATTGTTCAAAAATGTTTTCTAGCTAACTAGTTCATGCAAAAATAATAATTGTGTTTGAACACCATTAGCGAGACAATTACACACCGGAGGCTCAAATATGGCAATGACAGAGAAAAACTTCGCCCTGGAATGAAATGCAACTTCTGTATTCAGCAGATGTAGTTTATTCCTCACCGGACATTAGGCCATGTGGCCTGTTTGTATTTCAACTCCGCAATAAAAAAAATTATTCTCTTGCAAAAAATGTTAATAATGTTTCAAAACTTTTGTCATTTCAAAAAAGATCAACAGATAATAATCTAAACCCTAAAAATTCTTATTTAAGATGTATTGAAAACTCGTGTGAAATTTTTCTAATCTACCAATGAAGAATATTTATTTTGATTTTGAATGATATTAAAAATGCAAGTAATGAAACATTAGCATGAAAATATGGCTTGCAATTTCATTCACCGGAGGAATAATTGCGTTCTGAAGCAGTTACAATTTACTGTTTCAACTGCTGAGCAAAATATGTTTTGGTTAAATCTGAGGTGAACACATGAGATAAATCACTTTAAAGCCCCCATTTTAACCATTAACCAGAGCGAAATATAGTTGTCCTGGACTAGTGGGTTATTAGCATTCAAATAGGTCTGCTTTATCATCAGGACCAAAAGGAAAAATCTCTAAAAATTCTTGTTATGCACCAAAAGGCTGCCAATTAAATAATTTAGTCTTAACAACGGAAATTAAAATGCTTTTTTTCTGCTAAAAAAAATCCTAACAACCTCTTACTGATCAAGAGAACATACCTAAAACATAACAAAAATGAACATATCAGTCTAAATATAAACACAAAATACGGGTTTGTTCTCTAGGAACATGACAAAAAAAAAAAATAGCTCCCTAAAACAACAGTATAAAAGTTCTATCAGGAAGTTTTAATTCTCCCGAACACAATGATAAAAAACATATGGCACAAGTTTTTTCAGTAAACATGAAAACAGAGACGATGTGTATATATCACATGAGTTATAAATATGACGCGATGACAATGGGTACCCAGGTAGGAATCTTGGTAAAATTAAATCCACTAGTATGTTCGATAATGTGCTTTAGATGAGCTCAAGACACGAAATATTATACCCGTATTATCGGTTTTCCTATCAAATTTGACAGAATATTTAACTGGCACAAAACAGCACTATCTGAGGTCAAATTGTTTCCCCCTGGTGAAGCTCTTCTGATAAGGGAGATAAAAAAGGATCCCTACCATTACCATGGATACATGACACTTCAGTGTCAAAAGATCAGCCTTGCTGAAGCCTGTTTTTACAATACATGATACCTAAATAAATGAATTCGTCTCTTAATAGCACTCAGTAAGTATAATGAAATAGTACTAATCCTGTTTCTAAAAACTGAATCAACAAAATTTAGACAACCAATGAAAAAAATCTTATTTTTAACATTCGGTAAAACTACAAATCAAGTAAGACAGAAACTGGACATTAGTGATCATCTTTAAAGTTTTAGAATTAAATTGTTTTGTCTTAAAATTCCATAATTGATAAAAAGAGTAATGCCAAAACTGACCCGGATGAACTTTCAATATGGATGTCCCAATGAGCTATTAAAATGCAAAACCCTTAAAACTTTTTTAATTGAACAAAAATCTCCCCATGTTATGGATTTACTGTTTGTATTTTGATAAAATACTTTTTTTTAAATGGGAAGGGATAAGTAGAAATATAAATCAATTCAAAAATATACCATGAATGATTTTTGTCAAAAAAATTGGATACACATATATGAAATTCAACAAAAATTCTTCAATTACAAGCACTAAGGTAAAAAGTTTTCACATATCAAGATTACATTTAAATAGGTCAAACATCGAGAGACGATTCCGCTGGTGTTGTCCATTACACACCAGACTACATGTAGCGAGATCTCTTTGTATTACAGATACATGATTAAACATAGAGAGAGGGGATTATCTCCCTTAACCTGACTTGATCCAAAGTTCAAAGAAGTGAACTCGGAACTCCAAAAGCTATCAACTCTGAACTTCAAGGAAGGTTCAGGAGTGAAGGCTGTACACCTTAAAAGGTTTCCAAAGTGATCTTTGAACTTCTAGGAAGGTTACCAAGTGGATGAGGATGATGTATTGCACTTCTATTGAGGTTCATCTGAAAACAAGTCAACAATACAACTAAGATATGAGAGGCTATAATATTATATATTCATAAAATAATCTTTAAGCATATAAATTGCAATAATTAAAACGAGGCCCAGGGGCCACAGCACTCACCTGAGCACATCAGCTAGGAAAAAACACATATCAGATCAGAACTGAAAGTTAACTTAAGTTGGGGGAGGGCTTGAATTTTAACCCCCAAGGGGTTCATAATTTGAATGAACTAGAATCTACATTACCTGAGGATGATTCCATACAAATATAACTAATCCTGGCTTTGAAGTACTTGAAAAGAAAATTTAAAAAGGTTTCCCTATATATTTCTATGTAAAACTTTGGTCGGCCATTTTGGCCACGCCCTACACCCAGGGGTCATGACTTGAACAAATTTAAATCTACATTACCTGAGGATGATTCCACATGAGTTTCATCTTTCCTGGCCCAGTGGTTCTTGAGAAGAAGATTTTTATAGATTTTTCCTAAATATTCCTATGTAAAACTTTGATCGGCCATTTTGGCCCCGCCCTACCCCCGGGGGTCATGACTTGAACAAATTTATATCTACATTACCTGAGGATGATTCCACATGAGTTTCATCTTTCCTGGCCCAGTGGTTCTTGAGAAGAAGATTTTTAAAGATTTTTCCTATATATTCCTATGCAAAACTTTGATCGGCCATTTTGGCCCCGCCCTACCCCCGGGGGTCATGACTTGAACAAATTTATATCTTCATTACCTGAGGATGATTCCACATGAGTTTCATCTTTCCTGGCCCAGTGGTTCTTGAGAAGAAGATTTTTAACGATTTTTCCTATATATTCCTATGTAAAACTGATCGGACATTTTGGCCCCACCCTACCCCCGGGGGTCATGACTTGAACAAATTTGAATCTACACTATCTGAGGATGATTCCACATGAGTTTCATCTTTCCTGTTCCAGTGGTTCTTGAGAAGAAGATTTTTTAAAAATGCCAATAATTTTTCTCTAATTCATGATTATCTCCCCTTGGAAAAGGGCGTGGCCCTTCATTTGAACAAACTTGAATCCCCTTCACCCAAGGATACTTTGTGCCAAGTTTGGTTGAAATTGGCCCAGTGGTTCTTGAGGAGAAGATGAAAATGTGAAAAGTTTACGACAACGACGACGACAACGACAACAGACAACGGACAAATTTTGATCAGAAAAGCTCACTTGAGCCTTCGGCTCAGGTGAGCTAATAATATATTATTCTTGCAATTACCAATTTTTGGAACACAAAGTGCAAGACTAAGAATTTTTTCTACACAAGAAGTGCAGAAATTTAAGTTACCCATCCTGTGCAACCTACCATTATGCTTACGTCTATCCACTGTAAGAGAACCAGTTTAAGTCTGGTACTCCTCCTTAAAAGGCTCATAGTTAGGGATGGTGTGTGGATACTTCACATGCCAAACAATATGGAACATGAATTCTATGCGGTCCTGACAATGCTTCTGACAGGAAGGACATCGGAACGGATCGTTGTCCAGCGGCGAATGTAGACTCTTGTGGAGGTGGTACATCGTGAAGTCGTGAAAGAAGATGTTACAGTGAGGACAGTGATGGATTCCCGAGTCCCCTGTTGGTGTAATGGATGTGGTTGTCACGTCCCGTTTTTCATCGCTCTCCGTTTCCGAGACGGGGGGACTCTTTGAAGCGATGAGGCTCGTCTCTTCACGCTTGAAATGCTCGGCGATGATGCGTGACTTCCAGTCGCCATCCTCGGACTCCCCGCTGCTTGTGGACTTCATGCTGAGGTCAATGACTTTGTTGTCAGTGACTGAGGTATTCAGGTGGTTACTATAAATAGATGATATTGGAGGTAGTCGTCTCAGGGCTGAGTGAGGTAGACTTGAGCTCGAGGCAGATTCAAATGACAACCTGTTAAACAAGGTCATCATTGAAACACCAACATACGACTTACCACAATATTCATCTCTTGTCTAACTCACTTTATTATGAACTTCAATTTGGCTTTTCGAAAAATTTTTCTAAACTTATTTTTTGCCTCCTCACTTTATCTTCAGTTTCAAAGCAACTTAAAAATCTCATAAAATACATTTTCTGACATATATTTCAGAGTCATTTCGGTACATTTATATCATGTTTTCTGTTTAACCAATCATGATTTGAAACTAAACATTTAAATTCCTTTTAGCCTTACATTAAGTCATCAATTCATCATCTTATGAAAATTGATAAAATCCCCTTACTTGTATGCAGACAGTGTAGGAGACATAGTGGCAGTGACTTGGGCAAGGGCGGGTGGACTTCCATTGACTGAGTTACTGCCAGCCGCATATCCCGAATAGGTGGAAGTCGACAGTGCAGGAGGTGAATGCAGTAAACCTGCATTTAGCTAAAATGGAGAATGCTTAGCATTAATACACAACAAAGAAAGACAACTCTTGTCATCTAAAGTTTTGTAACTTTTAACTGTGTATCAAATATACTGAAAGGAAAAAGAAACGCAGGGTAAACTTTTGAGGTGAATTAGATTGGTTTTTCTTAAAATACTTTTTAGTTTTCCTATCTAACTTTTAAAATCATCTTTCAAAAAGATATAACCAAATTCTCATATGATTTTGTGTAATTATTCATGAGTTATTGAAGCTCAAATGGCGATACCCCCCAAAAGGGAAAATCGAAAACTCTCATTATCTTCAATGTCCATCTCGTGCATCTGTCAGAGTCTTATTTCTCCTTTGCATGGAATTTCATCAGAGTGTTTATCTTTCAAACCCTGGCTATATTTAGCATGGGTAACCACGCAAAAAAAGAAGTCAAACGGCGCGCGCATGCGCCAGTGAGAGGAATACAACAGTAAGTTGACTGGCTCAAAAAACCAAATTGCGGAATTGTTTTCTTTCAAATTTCGTATGATTGTAATGATTATAATCGTGTACACTATAAATGGCTGTTTTTGTGGTAGTAAGGTGGCGATTTAAGAGATGGCAGGACGAATAACCCGCTAGTAACATGACTCTGTTTCGCGTTAACGTCATCGTCACGGTTGATTGAAATCCACTCCAGACCCTCTCTGACAACGGCTAAAAAGTTTTATGGGGGAAAATTTACAAGAGACTGCTTAGTAAACCGTTGTTGCCTTTTTCATTAATTAGGCAATTCGAAAACAAGACCCCATTGAAATTCCGTAAACTATGCCAAGATTGCAATAAATTCATAATGTCTCTTAATATTGAAAAACGATGTGCATACCTCATATGCATCAAATAATGCAACAAGATTTGTGGACAAACACGTCGTTATCAAATTGCACGTGTTTTGGGCTTTTTAGTGTTTTCCCTACGTGACGTCATAAATTTTACGGTTGGGTAATTCTGAATACTGATTTTGATGCACAGTAACTAAATTTCCCATCTGACCAATTTTCGTAATTTTCGGTCAAGTGGTCAAATTTTTATCGACAATTATGCTACCCTGCGTTTCTTTTTCCTTTCAGTATATATTCATCATGACTTTTACTAACTCAAAATGATTTTTACGATTTTTTTTTTTTATATTTACTGACGAATTTAAAAAGAATAGCTGTTAGAAAAATGTGGCGTCCTCCATTTTAAGAACACAGCAAACTTACAGCTGAGGTGCTGTTGGATCTTGGAGCCATGTACAACTGGTCCCCGCCCACTGCAGAGGAGTTCACCAGCCCGGGGTTAGAGAGTGAGCGCTCTCTGTTGGGTGAAGATGGGGGTGTGACCTGTTCCAGTTTGATGGAGTCGGGGGACCCCGCCAGGCGGCGCTGATGGGAATCTGATGAGGTAGACACGCTGGTGTCCGACGGGGCGCTCATCGAAGGCAACGAAACAGTGGAACCTCCAGCCTGCATCAATCTACAAATAAAACACCAGGTTACTGTACTTCATACCAATACTGATCAAAAAGCTATATTTCTTTTTTTGACAACCAAATAAAGTTACATTTTAATTTTGCATCAAAATGTAACTCACAATCTAGTGGAATTTTTATTTTTTAACAACTGAACTTACTAAAAATTTCTTACACTATTTACAATTTTAATATCAGAATCGTTTGCTCTGTAAAATTGATACCATGCAGTTTGAATACTGTATACAAGGTAATTTTCGCCCCACTTAATTTTCACACTTGCAAACAATTTTCCCCTGTTTTAAATTCGCCCAGTCACTGTTTTGTTTAAGAAATTATACTGTATGCTTTGAACTCACCCCTTTTTAAATTCGCTCAATTGAAGTTGGGACAAAAGGGGCGATAAATAAAGTGATGGCGAAATTTCCATGTATACAGTACATTTTTCTGCTAACTCCACCCTACCTCGCTTGTGTGACCACAGCACTCTGCATCAGACTCTCGTAGGTCAGGGCGTGGTGTAACAGGGCCCTCTGCTGCATGGCAAAGGCCTGGTACGTGGCCAGATTCATCTGACTCGTGTTACGGTTTGACGGAGCGATTGGATTCCGATAGTTGGTCAACTTTCCCCTCATGTGGACATTTCTTTCATGTCGTCTTAAATCATTGGACTGTGTGAAGCACCTGAAAGACAAAAACTTAAGGTAGTCCGATCCTCAGGTTTATAAAATTAGTAGTTAAGTAATCAAAAATACTCATAAAAGTATCTCTGAATCCACAAAGTTAAGTTATTTTATCCACAATATTTCTTTAAAGTTAAAGATCAAAGTTAATCATATTATATAGGGAAAATTGTAAAATCTCCAATATTTTTGCAGAAAAAGCGAATTGGAATATCAGCTATGCATTTTCTAATTGCAAATTGATCAACAAATATATTTTAAGCTAAAAAACGATAGGTATCCAGGCATTCAGAGAAATTGTCATGATTTTTATACTTATTTGGTATTTTTTGTCTTCTATTTCCATCATGTATTCTATAATACATGGTGTAAAAGGCTTTTGCTATCATTGCAAGACACCATAAATCACTTCTCATTTCATATCATGCTAATAAACATTGGTATCTAAGGCTGGATTCAAGAAAATCTTATTTATCTAAAGCTGTACTAATTTTTTCCCCTTTTATAGGGTACAAATGTCATCTTTTATAAGACCTTTTCTAAGACTTCCAAAGACCTTGAATCTTATAAAGATGAAAACAATGAAAATTGTTGCATAAAAAAATTTCATTTTCAAGCTTAATTTTGATGCATTTCAAATTAAATGTTAATTTTTGGAGTTATCCTTCCTGGCTGAGGATCGGATATCCTTAAGTTGTAGAGCAATAGCAAAACAATAAAAGGGGTGATTATACAATGTAAAATAACAAGTGGGATTGTAGTATGCAACGTCTTCCCCCATCTGTAAACAAACTTCCGTTCGACACACACATGTAACATCTGCCCACACTCTCTCTCTCTCTCATCTGTAAAATCTCCCTCCCACTTCCATCTTTGATGTTAACGTTACACTATTCCACATAATGAATTTATAATGAAACAAAATCTTAAGGGATACTTCAGTACATTTTTATTCTTCCCAATATCATTACAGCAGTAAATGCATCAACAGTTAAGCTTCGGAAAATATCACTCTTATGTTTGTTTCATTCAAGAATAAAAACCAATTAAAGATGATGTAAAATATGCTTCTTCATCATGGAAAAAATGTAATTATATCTCTCACTCAGCATGACCTATTTAAAATGTAGAACTAAAATGAAGAAGGGCTAATTTTCAGTGGTGCATGCTTTAATGGCAGCTCATTATCTGCTCACTTGCCTGTGTCGTAACTCAAAAACATGCTACTTGTTGGCAGTTAACATTTGTTTTTTTGTTACGCACACATAACAAATACACTTTTGCGCAGTTGAGAGGAAAAAAAATGCTTCAGGGTTTGTATGCATGAATCTTAATTAGCTTGGCAAACCTGCCACGATGAGCAACATGTGTCTATGCATGAGAGAACATAGCACTTTTTTAATCAGATGGTTTTTTTTATTTTCACTTCAATGACCACAGATGCCTATTGATCAGTTAATGGGGCTCTCCGTTCTACTTTTTTCTCTCGTAATATTCTTCATATGCTCTATGATCGATCGTAGGTACTGCGGAAATTATGAAAATAGCCTTCCCACTCCTGAATACAAAAAATCCTCGTCAGGACTGAAAAACTACCCCAGGAAATCGCTATACACTTACAAGTATTTTTCCTACAGGTCAAATTAAGGCAAATAATCAGTATTTTTATGACAATCCCCCTCCATTGTACTGCTAGGATTACTGCTTAAAACAACAAGGCTTTGATTTATCACAATGACATTGCCTTATGACATCATTTTATCAATTGACCTACGTGTCCTGAAAATGACCTGGAAAGACCCCAATAAACAAACAAGCGCACGCATCAAATCATTATTTTCTTCTTCTCCTCCTTTTTTATTACTAATAATTCTGTAATCCCAAAATTGTTGTTTTTAGCCTTGGCCAAGTGCCAGTCTTAATAAAGCATCTCTCCTTTTTTTTTTTATCTCCCCCCAGCAGGATTTGGGTGAACAACCTTCTCAGGATACTTTCCTTGTAGTATTACAATTTTTGTTGGAGGTCGATACTTAAAAACATGCAAAGATGACTGTACCATAGAGAAAAAAAAAATCGGTTAGTACATAAAGGCTTTGTCCTGCCATAAACAGAGGAAATTATAAGGACATAGTCATTAATCGATCAATACCACACTGTTTAAGAATTCCCTTTTATCCCCTCCAGGCTATGGAACAAAAGTTTTACTTCACTTAAATAAATAATATTATTTACTTATATAATTTAATTTTAAAGTGCATTCACTGCCCTAATTTGTGATAGTGGGATCAGTGGATATCAGATTTCATGTTGTAATAATGGTGGGGGGTATCATCTCCAATGTGACCTTATTCTCTATTTTAAGGGGGTATGGCCCGTTTGGAATAAATTCAATAGGTTCACATGTACAGCCTGGTATGAACGCTTTATTGCTAAATGAAGCACAACCAAAACCTTTTTAACCTCCGAGATTTTTTTTGTAAACAGCCTAGATAAATGAGTTTTTTAAACTTTAATTACATTCATTGCATGAGGGCATGGTTGAAAATATCAAAAAGCTTTTTATATTATCATTACAGCCCACAAGTTTTGAGTTCCATTAAGGCAAAAAGGGAGGCATTTAAATTAACATTTGGGAATTGCATGATGTCGTTAAAATTTAAATGACAAAGCACATGCAAAAAGCCAAAGATATTTTACACATTCTGAGGATACTATGGATTTAACCAACCCTATCATGTTATGCAGAAATTCATTAATGGCATGAAGCAGTTCCATTAACCATGACTTGTCATATAATATTTCAATAATTAATAACTATGACATATCAACATATATGCTCTCATGTACTTAATGTTTAATGTTCATTGACTTTATTTAAAAATGTAGGTCAATGGTCATCCATTTTTTTTTTTCATGTGTCATGTCACCATACAATGAATTTAAGGGTGGCGAAAAGGTAGGTCATTGCATCTTATGGGCAATTAACCTAAAAAAAAACAAACTTGAAATTCCATCAAGATTTCAGCTGATGTGCCTGTCATGTTTTTACGAGATAGTATTTCATGGAAGCTAAGCAGGATGATTTATGGGTGTACATATTGTTTACTTAAATTAATACCGATAAAAAATAAGGCAAAATTACGAAATCGTGTGCTTTACAGCATTATCCGTGGAATTGCCTTACTATAAATATTCATACACACTATGTGTTTATTACAACATAAACGATCTTGTGTATGGCAGGAATTTACTCTACAACTTGTAACCTTATCTGATCTGAATGGAAGGAACGTTAAAAAAAAGTTTAAAAAAAAAGAGAAGCTTTTCTTACGAGAGATTTCGTAATCTTATCAGTGACCCCATAGTTGTATGAAAAAACATGAATTCATTTTAAATCTCTCAGATGATGAAGGGAGGCAGATGTAGCGTTATCAGTAACTTTCGACAGTTTTTCCTTGTCAGTGATGGTTCCCCTTCTTATAGTATTCCTATCACCTTGGACACACACTGCCAATAAATCTTACCAAGGAGGTGTTTCTTAAAATATCTAAATATAGAGCATAACATGAACAAAAACTTGTATCTTAGATCAATGATTATTGATAGGAACCATTCCTTTTTTTTTTTTCGTATCCAGATCAGAAATTTAAAGGATTTCAAAACAGTTGGAAAATTTACATTATATTTACAGTATAAGCAGAATTTTTAGCGCGGATTTAATTTTGGCATTATTAGCGAGGGTGTTGAGATCGCTAAAATTAAGGTATTCAATCCTTAATAGGAACAAATTCAAGGAAATTGAATACATAACAGATATGTAGGCTTTGAATACTAGGTTTATTTAGACATGATTCCCATTTATTACTATTAGTATGTATAGTGGGATGTGTCCTTATTTATGACCTTAAATTTTGGTAGAAAAAAAATCAATTTTAAAAAATTAGATAAAAAAATTGTTTTCAATTGTCATTCTATTTTTAACGTTTCAATGCATCTTTCCACCGCAGGATTTATTGATATTCAATTCATTTAAATTTTTATTTTGAAAAAACGCTTTTCCCCATAGACTTCAATGCAATCTTTGTTAATTAACTACTGCTTTATTAATGAAATTTTTAAAACTTTCTCGCGGTCAATCCTTTTCCACTATAAAATGCTTTAATATAATATCAGAGTATTATGTACTGGACGGACATATAAGGGTAGGGAATTTGGTCCCATTAGGGATGGAAATCCTTAATTGCGTTTTGTTTGTAATGGCCTCTTTAGTGAGCTTTTAAATATTGCTAAAATTACTTATCGCTAAAAATTAAATACCCATTTTTAAGGACAAATCGCTAAATTTGCGGCTGCTAAAATTTCAACTTATACGGTAGTTTTCTTGCAAGCATGGCATGTTTTCTTTCCTGTGACAGTTTCAAACAATTACTATAATGTCATTCAAAATGTGTGACAAGTACCAATGTACTGTAAGTACTAACAACTAACTGTCTAAATAATATAAGTAAGTTTTTAAGGGCATGTATCATAAGAGAAAAACATGAAGAGCAATTGAGCTCAAACTTATAAATGTAAAATTCTAATAATGAAAGAAAAAATAAAGTCCCCCCCCCTTTAATCCCAAAGTTGATTTCTTCCATTTTTTTGCCCCTTCAAGCAAAAAAAATTAAACATCTTTTGTCTGCTATTTTTTCACCCAAGGAAGCTGCATTTTCTCCAGGGTTGCTGTCTGATTGTTTGATTATAGGTGACTTTGATTTTACGATAGCCATAAATAAACAACAAGAAAAGTGAGCACTGTCTGGTTTCCTCAGTCGACAGACACAGATTTAGCCAAGTTCGGTAGCACTGATGGACTGTGCCAGCCAATGGCTAATAAAGCGGCAAGGGTGATTGGAAATTACCAATTACTCTGGCAGATTTACTAATAAATACTTCACCTAAAAAGACCAACACAACTTAGAACAATGGCTGATGACCAAAAATAGAATTTATATAGCTTTCATTTTTTTCTCTCCTCTTAATTACAATCTTACATGATTTACTTTCCGACAAAATGAGAAGAAAGTAAAAAAAAAAACAATTGTCTTTCAGTTGGAAGAGATCTAAGAATACATTCATCTTAAATCATTAACACCTATCCTTCAAGATAACAGAAGCTGAAATCAACATCTATGGTTCAACAGCCCAAGAAATGGGGCAACTTTTCCGTTAGGGAGTAATTCAAAGCTTTTTTAAAATCTATACTTTTCTTCAATGATTAATTATTCATTCAAACCCTTGTATCATTACAAAAAAAAAAAAAAAAAAAAAAAAAAACATTAGGAGTCAATTTAAAAATATTTTTAGAATTCATATGCATGTACATGGATTGCTCAAGAGAAATTCCACAAATAACAAGGGATTTCTAACCTCTTCATAACATATTATACCGTTAGCCATGACATGGAGAAATAAAGATGAAAATGTTTTTATTGCAGTATCCAATTAAAGCTTCCCTTTGCAGTATCTCTTACAAATGTCCTGACGTTTCTGTACTAAAAACAAAAGATGGGCAAGTTTTTTTTCTTCCTTATCTCTTTAAAAAAAATGCGTCACAGAAAATTACAGAGGTAAGGGTCAGTTTCTATATTTCTTTGTCTGTTTCTATTACAGTCTGATAATCTATACATTAGAATCATCAGAAAACTTAACTGCAGTAGAGCCATAATCTACCATTAGACTTTACAATGGTATATTAGATTCCTCGAGCTAATTTGGGTCATATGAACTTTTCATGCTGAAGAAATATGACTTAAAGCATGTTGTTATACGTGTAGCTTCTATGCCAAGAGGTTTTTTTTTAAATTTACAAAAAAAAATATCGTACAAAGTTAATATATTGTGCAATCATTTAAGAAATTGTGTTTTGAATAATTAAATATGGCATTTTTAAAAATTTGTTTAACATCTGTGAGACTGTCAATAAGTCAATTGTACTTATTTACCATATGATAGTAATATAATAACATACACCCCCTACAAAAAAAAAATTAAAAAGATGCTAGGCAACATGCAGCCACAGAATGGGATTCCACAAAAGCCTTTATTTCACGTATTGAACTTTTTTTCAACATGTGTTGTCCTATAAGTAATGTAATTCAAACCCGATATTTTTTTGACATTTTCTGAGCTATCTGACTCCACATAAGGACATAAATGTAGTCAAGTGTGCCAGCTGTCACAAACTGAACAAGATGTGCTGGCTCAAATGGGGACACAAAAACAGCAGGTCAATATCAATCTGCTCTTTGTCTGATCCCTAAAGTCTGTTACTTATGTTCAATTCATTTTAAATTTTAAAAAAATCTATTTGTCTTTATTATTTGGAAGACATCACCGATTTCAAATAGAAGCCTTGAGAACATGAAATAACCCTTTGGCTCCAGATATCCTGTAATTAATTTTTTTTTTATTTGTTAAAAAAAAAATATTCAGAATTTTTCACACAACAAATGTCATACTCAACAGAGATAAATTAAAATCAAAGTCCTGGAATCATCTGCTCAATTTTGTTGACAGAGATCTTCCAAATGTTTTTGATTGTGGTTTTTAAGGTGAGTGAACTTTGAGGTATATGTAAATACTGGTCTCTTTCTTGTACAACCAAGGACACCGGCAAACATTTGCCCTGCTGAGGTCAAATTAGCATTCAGGAGTACGATCGTTCATTCCCCCTGAGTCTCAACAATATGTTGTTCACTCCCCGTTAATATGACATAGCGCATTTAGAATATGTCACTTGAATGGATTTTTTTCCCCTTACTAATTATCAATATTAAATTGCGCCCTGTGACATGCCTCAACAAATGAACTATCAGTTGAATTAAATTTTAAGCTCTAAGCTCAATCCCCATGGCTTAGCTATTGATCCTCTCAAAATATGAACATAGCCATTACTCCTCCTCCTTCTATTTGCTCTGATCCGCATCACTGCCCCTCAAAGAAACCCCCCCAATCGATGTTTTTTACAAATTCTTTATCGTTGCAGATATCACCTATACATCTCCCGGTCTCATGTTTTGCGTCAGAAATGAATTTATTTTTTTTGCATGGGAAAATTAATAGCGTTTTTTTATGCACACAATAAAACCGCTGGCAGAACAATTTAGCAACAACTATTTCCACTTGCATTAAGAGTACAAAGACCACATTAATACATAATAGCCTGTCATTTGATGCCCTCCAATGCATCCTCTTTCCTTAAGCAAATTTGGGATGGATCTTCTTTTTATGATCGTAAAACAACTTTTAATGTCTTTAGAATTGTAAAACCTGCCATGTTTTCTAACAAACACTTTATATGATTATCGCTGTCAATTTTCCCCTAAGGAACTCCTCTGCATTTGATTCATGCAGTGCATTAGGTGCACGCATATTTAAGTGCATAAAGGTTTTGATGAAATTGCCCTTCAATTATATTAGGAAACCATAAAAAAATTAATGAGGACAATTCATGTTTTCCATTCCGATGTCTGTCTAATCTCAAAGATAGGACATTTTATAATACAATTTCTTTTGCTTCTGAAAAATGATTTCTATTTAAAACTTGCTAATATAAAAACGTGCACTAGCACTTATCTTGCAAAAAGATCGCAATACTTATCATAAGATTAGTATTTTTTGGAAAACTTTTGTATGTAATTTTTTGACGCAATTACTCTTTTTTTTCCTGGAATCATAACATGAGAATTATTTTTCTATTGTGACTTGTAACTTTAGAAATCAAATTCCACAGTTAGTTCTTTTTTCCTCTCTCTCTCTCTCTCATAAAAAATATAATTTAGATAAAAGATGCATTAATCCAGCTGACATAAATTGGGGGAATTAGAAATCTTTAGTAAATAGAATTTATTAAAGAAGTAATAAGAGAAATATATGTAACCGATCAGCAAGTCAGATTATGTTTTCATCACTTATTCATTTTAAGAAGAAATAAGGCACTGATCATAAGATGCATACGATGGGCTCTGGACTTACATGAAAATGTGTAACTGTTATATATATACTATTTATAACATCATACAGTGGGGACCCCCCACCTAACCTCTCCTGACAGGGGGATCATGCCTACAGTAACCTTTACAAATATTTTACCAAGTTGAAAAATTATTAACTGCCAGAAGAAACCATTAGAATGATATGTCTCTTTTTCTCACAAAGGCATTTATTAGCATTATGAACCACACATTTTAAGATAGGAAAAAGTGAGTAGATTTGGCATAACCCAATGCTATTTGTTATAAAGTCTGATCCAAAATGACACATTAGCACCACAATCCTAAATTATTTCTTGTAAATGGCAAATCCATTTACTGAAAATGTATCATTTTTCATAACTGATAGTGTAAAGATGAGACTCTAATATTTTGTAAAGGTTACTAATGTCCATGAAATTTTGTAAATGTGACATTTTTATTTGATATGATAAAGATGAAGCTGATAGATTTCAGATTGATTGCACTTAATTATAGAACTCGAGACCTCAAGAAACAAAAGGACTGGTGGCAATGTTACACAAAACTTCATGTCTGCTAATGGCAATGATGACGGGAAAGGAGAAATTCGAGTCGTCGCGAGATCATCTTCCAAAGGAAATCCAACTCACTAATGATCAGGTACGTCTTTGGTAAGAAAACATATGCCAGACAAATAGGTCACACCAAAAAAAAAATCAATGCCTTGAGACAGCCACTGATGAAGAAGTTAAACGTCTTGTCCATTGTTTTAGACTGCCTCGTGGAGAGCGTGATCGAATTCTTGCTATTTTCCGTGCAGAAGCTGCGGCATTTACCGACATATACATTACTCACCAGCAAGTAATACATAAATTCTATTTAAACTTGGCATATTATTCTGCATCAAATGTCTACCCATTATGCTTTTGTCTGATTGTTTCATGTCTTCAAGAAAAATAAATATGCTTTAATTAAAGTGTTGCTTGCCCTACATCTATCCCTTGATAAACCTGTATGATGAACAGTTGGCACAACTTCAACAAAATAATGGAACGTTTTGCATTAGGGGAAATTTTCATGAGGGAGATTTGTGGCATCAACCTATGTTTTTTTTTTCCCTCCTGCAATCTGGCAGTGTGGCACTGTGCGTTAAAGATGAAAGAGCCCCCCTTACACTATATATACACTTCACATTTGTATGTCAAGGTCTGGTAATGTACTATAAAAAAAATTAGCTTGTACAAAATTTCATTAAATGATTTAGCCAATCAAATAGGAGGTTAATATCATATTAAGTTAATAAAATGAACATGTACTGCTCTTTGGTTTGAACTAATAAGCTTCACTGCTCCATTACAAAAGTCTCCCAAAAGGAGCAACATGTGCTAGTTTATACATGTATTTTTACAGGTACATGTAAGAAGGTTGCTAGATGTGAAAATTGATCACATGTATCATTGTATGTATCATTTTTCAAAACTTAGGCATATAAGGAAATTATATATATAGCCACTCTAAAAAAAAATGTGTTGATTTTTTCCTTTTATAACACTTGACTCTTCCCCCAAGTCCAAAATCTTTCATAAAGTTAAAAAAAAAAAGCGGGGGATTAATTATGCATTTGTATGTAGACATGTATGTGAACTTCCTCAATAAAATTTGAGCACTTATCATGCTTACAAGAGCATCAAAATAACATCCTCTTTAAACCCTTTAAGAATAAGAGGAGAAAAAAGTTCAGAAAAGCCATAGCATGATTAATGAAGGCATTCACAGAAAAGTTCACTGAAGCACAAAGATATAATTACTAGAAATTAATTAAATCAACAATTTTCCCTATGAAGATATGGTTGAAAAAAGATGGAATTTAAATTTTCTGAGTTTGACATTTGTTGCAAGAATTTTGAAAATTGCACAAATTCAGTCATTTATTTCAGAAGGGCACAGCACTGTACATGTATAAAATAACCTGAGATGTTGTTTGTACTTCCCCAAATTAATAGTTTCGTAAACAAGTTAAACAACAGTAAGTACATAAGTACCCTTTATGCCAGCATGTCACTTACAAAAGTATATAAGTATGTATTAATTTTGAGAGAGAGTATATTTAAAGTGATTTTTTAAAATATTCAGTTTTCATATCATGGAGACTGGGTGGCCAACAATTTAATCAACAAATCCACTTAAAAATATGAAATATTTTCAGCTTTATTCTTTAGCATGTTTACATCCATACAGAATTTTTTTTAATTCCTATTATCCCATCAAAAAATATGTTGTCCATGAATTTTTTTTGGAAAAAATATTCCCCCCCCCCCCCCGAGTTGGGAGAGGGCAAGCAAACATTATTTTAAACATGCCAGCCCCAGCTTTAATATTCTATGCAATGTCCTATATCAATATACAGAGCTCTTCTTTTTCAGGAGGTTTAAATGGTCTAAAAATGGCCATGGAGACTACCTTAAGTGTAAAACTCTTAACATACCTGTGGCATATTTTACATTTGTAAGGCCTCTCCCCAGTATGTACTCGTTCATGAACTTTGAGATTCGACGACCACAAGAAGGACTTTCCGCAGGTCTGACAGACGTACGGACGATCGGCGCGGTGCAGCTGTTCGTGTTTTCTGAGGGTGGCCACCTCCCTGAATGACCTCTGACATACATCACATTTATAGGGCCGGGGACCAGTTGTAGCAGGGAGTCTTATTCCGTTCTGCTTGTCAGCACCATCCTCATCCATGGCTAAAAGTAAAACACAAACTTCCTGAACATTGGATAATATTAAAGAATTAAATGTTACAATATTAAGGTTTTTATGTTCATCCAATTGTGCAAGAGAAGAAATCATGCAGTCTTATCAGGTTGATAACTCTTTCTGTGAGTTCTATTATAAAGCCTTTGGTTATATGTTTATTGAGGAATATTATTATTATAATTAATATGCGATGTGTATAAATGGGCAGGAAAAAAATATACAAATGAATACAGATTCATATATAAGTGTACATAATAATACAACTCCCAAAAGAAATTAGCAATGATCAGAATATAATTTTTGAAAAAATTCTAGTTTTCATATATTTTGTTTTAAAGGAACATTGAAAGCAATATTTAAGATACAGATACTAACATTTGATGATATTTCCCTTCATCTCTTGATATAATATAATAAAAAGTAAAACACGTAATTCACTTATCTCAAGTATATTCCAGATAAAACTTTACAAGAACACAACTTACACTCAAATTTGAAAACGAAGAGTAAACCCACGCAACACAAACAATATTTCTGTTTATAAAGAAAAAAAGAGGCAGATTGAAATGACTCGAGATTGCCAAAACTGAGACAAGTGAGACTGAGAGATAACTCATTAAACTGAGACAAGTTAGATGGTGAGTTTACCGTTAGATCAAAAACTTCTCTTCTGGAACATGCAAGATCTCATGTCCATATATACAAGTCCGCACAACAGATAAAAAATTCAGACTCCGATACCACAGGCTGCGACACAAAAAAAAACTCTACAGGTCCGCGCAATCATTACCAGATACACCTACTGCTGCAAAAAATCAATAGCTGGGTCCAGAAGCCAGGATTCACTAACCAATTAGTATCAATATATTCTTTTTCTTCCCAAGTTGTCTTCTCTATTTCTTTTTTTTTTTGAACCTTAAACTTTGCATGATCAATGTGTTAATTTCATGCTGTAGGTTGACTTCATGAGTTGTTTGTCTATTGTTTGTTTGCACAACATAGTCTATTCATCAATCTCAGCTGTTTAACATCAAGTTTTACAGTAAACGACTTGAGAGCTAAAACCTATCTCTGGTCATTTACCCCTCCAAGTTGAATAATCAGTTTTCATGAGGAGGCCCCCGTAAGGGGAGAAT